AAAATTTGACCTACATTTGAAAACCACAGGAAAAAATTAAGCCACATTTTAAATGGTTTAAAAAATAAGTGAAACTTCTCATTTAAGATTTTAAAGATCACTAGGCCTTGGCATTGGTCTCAATTATTAATCTATTTTATATCATTGGATTATATCATCATCATAAAATGTCAGCTCATTGAAATCATATGATTTGACTCGATTTAGTGGTGGAATACAGACATGTCTACACCAAGTTCAACTCATAACAATGTCACATTCTCCACTTTATTCAAAATTAAAGTAACACAGACATAGGAATATAGGAACTAATGAAACATCTATTAACATTTAGAAGGCAACTTTTCCATCACAATCTCATTTTCCCAAAGTCTATGAATACAAAGGTAAGGGGTAAACCTCAGTAACGGGACGTAGGACCGGCAGTCTAACAAAGCCTATTAAACTGAAGTGGCGGGCTTCTCAAAATGGGAAAGTTAAGCACTGTCATGTGAATCTATTCTGCAGAGAGGAAGGGAAATCTACTGGGGAACATTTGGGAAACATTTTGCTCCCTGATTAAAACAGAAAAGAGAACTCTTTAACCATTCTGCCCCCATAGCTCCAGGCCTTTGAACTTGGCAATGGGAAGTAGGATGTTTGGGGTGTGGGAGCCACACTGCAGCCATGAAGCAACAAGTCCAAGAGCAAAAGGCCAATACTTTGATGAAGGCCATGCAGACGGATGTCATGGAGCTGTGGAACAGACACTGGAACCACCTCCATCCTGACTTCTGTTCTGTGGAATAATTAAATACTATTTCTTTAGTCCTTCAAGCCACTGTTTATTCTGGTATACTATTACCTGCAGCCCTGTTTTCTTAACTAATAAAAACAGGAAATGATAATATCTAGAGCTGTCAGTCAAGACCACAAGTTTTTGCACTGTGATGGAAATGATATTACAAAAGAGTTTTAAAAATAAAAACTTTAAAAATAAATAATTAAAACATCAATAAATAATAAGCACGCAAGAGCTACTTTACAACCTTAGAGGTAAAAAGCCTAAAATTCAAGACCCCACCACACATATACTTTGTTGTTTGCACAGAGTTGTGTGTGCATGTTAAGGAAGATAACTACTTCTACCATATATCAAAATATATTTGAATAAAAGGCTGAATAAGAAATAGTCTGACAGCTATTTATTAGGGCAATGAGTTTTTTATTTACTTCTTCATTGTCAACAACCTACATTCAGAGCGCCATCTTTCACTAAAATTCCAAAAATGTAAACAAGGATCTAAAGGCCATGACTCTTGCTGCCTAAAGCTTCATAAACCAATTCAGCCTACGGAAGAAACCCGAGAAATAATAAAACCTACGATGAATACATACTTCTCAGTTCTTTTTTTTAAAAGATTAGCCCTGAGCTAACATCTGCTGCCAATCTTTTTTTTGTTTCCTTCTTCTTCTTCTTCTCCCTAAAGCCCTCCAGTACATAATTGTTTATTTTAGCTGTCGGTCCTTCTGGTTCTATGTGGGATGCTTCCTCAGCATGGCTTGAGGAGCGACATGTAAGTCCGCGCCCAGGATCCGAACCGGTGAAACCCTGGGCCACTGAAGCAGAGCCCGCAAACTTAACCACTCAGCCAGGGGGCTGGCCCCATACTTCAAAGTACTATTCAGAAAATCCTGTGGATACTCTGGGTACAGGAAAATGTAGTCCTACCAGTTTCAGCTTTCAAGATAAATGATAAAAGTACTGAGAGTAGGTACTTATATTTGAAAAAACAGAGATGAATGAATACCTAAATTAGGGAGTGGAGCTGTGACTATAAATCCCTTTGCTTTGACAGCTTGAGTAGAATAATGTGAGACACGACTCATGTTATTTTGATATTGTGATTTGTATCCAGTGAACTCACAGTCTTGTTCCATGAAAATTGCAATAAGATGTCGATTTACGTTGTCCTCAAAAATGTAGATTTTATCATTTTCTGTGGTTACAGCCCTTGAAATATTACTATGCTTTATATATTACAGAGAGAAAAGATACAATAAAATTTCAATGGAATTTGTTGACAAAAATCAGACAAAGTTGTGGCTACAATCCATTAACAGGGTTAATTAAGAAACATTTAAAGAGAAAAACAGACTGCAAATTGATTTATATATAGATAGGGGCTAGCGGGTGTTGAGAAGTTTGATGTCACCAGATTTGCAGATAAAACAGATCTGGGGATCTATACTAAAAACTTATTTGAAGTTTACTTGAAATTCAACATTTATTTTTGTTTTATTTTGTGTGTCTTGCTAAATATGACAATCCTAGAGAAGATTAAATTTGAGTAAAATTTTCATTTTTCCTCCATTTCTTTGGCATCATTGTTACCACTTTATGCAAGTAGATAGTTTACAACAGTCAAATTATCAAACATTTTCTCCCTTTAGGTACCAAGGATTAGAAATCTATAGATGCATAAGACATGGTTCCTAACCACAAGGAGCTCCCTCCTTATCATGGGGTAGTAGACACAAGACTCTTCGCTGCCCTAGCAGCTGTCTCACTGAGGACAAATTTGCAACAGTAATTCAGTACCTGAAAGACCCACAGTGCCCGCTATTATAAACCCATGTGGATTCTCATCAGCACCTGCTCTCTGCTCTTGTTACCCTGCAGGCCCCAACTCCCCCCACCAACCTGGCCCCCAAGGATAGGAGGACCCTGTATGGATATGTGCTTTGTCATCTGTTTATCTATAGACCCAAGATAGTGTTTCCTGTCCTTCTGGTTGCTCAAACTTTATCTTTAATTAATAAACAGGTTCTCTTTAAACAAATTTCATTTCTTGCACTGATTTTTTTTCCATGTTCCCCTTTCAAGATCTGCCACACAACCAACCACCTGGATTACTTTCATCACCAGATGTTTCACAACTGCCCACTCTCTCTCCATTTTTTGCTTTTTCAGAGGAGAAAAATGTCACTAGATTTCTCAAAAAAATGTGGATCCGGAAAAATCAAGATCACATTATATAAAGAGGAAAAAACTCAAAAAGTAATTGATAGAGTTAAACATTCATGCTCCTCAGACTCCATATCAAATGCTTATTGAAAATTAAATTCTAGAGTGCAAAGTTGGGAGAGAGAGATAAAGAGTAGAAAGTTATCCAAAAAACAGGACCACATGTTATTTACACTTTTTGGCACTTAATGTAATACCTTTCTAGCTTTTCTTATATATATTTTAAAGCCCACTCTGCCTAAGTTTCTTGATTATAAACACCAACTATTATTCCATTACAAACACAACAGGATATTTGGGGCCTTTCCTTTGTGATGACAATACTCATTGTGCTGCAACGCTAGAGTGAGTGAATGTATCTATAGGTAGCACATAATTTTTCAGAGAAAACACATTTTAGTATTAGTTTGAAGTAATACAATTTATTACAAATCTCTTTAAACACGATATGTGAAATTCTACCCTCAGTTTCCTCATTTATTAAAAATCCTGGAGAGTACTTTATATGTGATTTGATTAACTTAAATAATAAATATTAAAAGTGTTTTGTAAGTTTAAAAGTTTTATATAAATTCCAAAGAGGAAACAGGGGCATTTTTAATACTTTATTTAGTAGAATTTCATATAATTGTAGGAATTACAGTAAAAAGTTTTTACGCATCAATCAACCGATATTCAAATTATAATGGAATAGGGTTTTTTTCTTTATTATAAACTCACTAAAAATTTTTAAAGTTGTAAATTCAGCTTTATAAAAACTCTTGCAGGCCAGCCCATCAGTGTAGTGGTTGAGTTCACACGTTCCACTTTGGCAGCCCGGGGCTTGCAGATTCAGATCCTGGGCACAGACCTGGCACCGTTCATCAAGTCACGCTGTGGCAGCATCCCACATAAAGTAGAGGAAGACTGGCATAGATATTAGCTCAGTGACAATCTTCCTCATCAAAATTAAAAATACGAAAAATAAAAAACTTTTTGCTACCATGGTTTATTCTATATATACGAATACTCTGTATACCTGATTCCATATACCTGATTTTATAAACTTCAGAATAAAAAGAACCCTTGGCTTAGAAATATGCCTGTTTCATTATTAAATTGTTTTTTGATTAATTCCTTGGATATTTTTGTTAGTCAAATATTTTTGTGTTTAATCCCCAAGAACGTGAGACCACATAGATTCATATTCTCTGACGTAATATATTCTCCTACAGAGGCCTACCACGACCATCAGAACTAAAACAATAAACAACCAATGGAGCGAAGATGCCATTGATCCACTGAGGTATCATGACGTGTTACATCATAGTGACTTGACCCACACACCTCACATGTCATGTCTGATACAGGACAAGTGGGGTGGGGGATGACTCAATGCCCAAGCTCACCGGAGCCCTTCTCGTTTCCAGGCTCGCCAGGGCAAGAAAAGGGAACTAGTGAGATGGGCATAGGTACTAAAGCGTACAGAAATGATTTCAACCTACATTTCACTGTCCAAAGAAAGTCATATGGCTTCACTTATCTTCAAAGATAGCAGGGAAGTACAATTCAACCTAGTGCCCAGAAGGAGAAAAAAATGAGTATTTGTGACTCTAATAGTCTAATATCTCAACCACAATAATAAAAGGACATTAATTTGGGGATTCACTGTTTTCTGTATATTTACATAATCATTTTTTATCATGATAAAAAGCTTGTGAGCTATACAAAGAAAGGACCATAGTATTAAATCTTAATTTTAGTGGATGCTTTTCAGCTTCAACTTACTTGCTCTCTTCCACTGTTGGATACCCCTGACCACTCCCCCTCTCTCTTAGGCACTCTTTTCCGTTTGTTTCCATAAAGCAATTTATCCTTGCTCCCCTCTGCTTGTCTCCTGTTCTTTCTCAGGACCCTTGATGGTTTCTTCTATCTCTGACCACTCACAAGTATTGGTGTTCCTTCAGAGACCTGCTATTCAAATGCTTCTCTTTTGTTCTATTTCTCCTGACAGGATCGTGTAACGATCAAGAGAATGGAAGACAGGCTGAGTTTGAATGTCAGCTCCTCCACATCTGGCGAGAATTTGTACGAGTTAACCAACCTCTCTGTGTCTAAGTTTCCTCATCAATAAAACAGGAATGATAAAATAGAACGTGCCTCAGACTTGTGATCATTTCATGACTTAACACACTTAAGGCAGTCAGAACGGTGGTTGGTACGCGGTAATTCTAATGCATTAGTTACTATTAATTCTCTGAGTATTATGTGTATATCTCTGAGTATGTCTCTGAGTATGCCGAAGTCTTCACTTCTACCTCTTGACGGACGACCCTCCAGTCCATATAACAATTCTAGAATGGACTTCATGAGTTCCACAGCCATATATTCAATTCCATTCTAGATATCTCCAACAATTCAAATTCAACTGGTCCACAAAGGGGAGGCACCATCATTCTTCCCACTCCTGCTTTTCTAGCCATGTTTTCTAGCTTATGCAGTTACATCAGCATCCACTCACTCAAGCTAGAAAACTGCACAGATTTGTGAGCAATTTTATGAGTTCTACCTCAAAATTCATCCCTCCCTCACTTTCCCTTCACTGTAATCATTATTATTTCTTGATTCACATTCTGCTCTGGCCTCCTAATTGCTCTGCTTTCCTCTATCTGGCTCAGTCACTTCAGATTCTATCAAATATTTTGGCCAGGGTGATCTTTCTAAAATTAAAATCTCATATTGTGTTCTCCAGTAAACTTAAACATGACACACCAGCCTCTCGGGCTTGCCTCTGCTCTCTAACTTCTCTTTCACAGCCAGCACCCAGTCTGAGATCTCAGATCTGAGAAAATTTAGATGGAGGTAGTGCCAATGTTGGCCACTGGAGAATGAAACAAATCAGAAGCTACAATCCAAGACTCAAGCAAAAAGAAAGTTTCAAAAGGTGCACCCCAATGGAGAAGCCATAAAGCAAGAACTTAGTCTAAACTAAACTGTCTTCCATAGAAAGAGAGAAATAGCAAATAAAACTGGGAGATGAGAAGGAAATTTAGAGGTAACAATGGGCATTGCGAGATCTTGAAGGTAAAGAAAAGAGCTCCGTATGGCCCTGAGTGCATTAAATTTCTGCCTACCACTTCATTTTCATTGCCACCACCTTAGAAGCATCCTTACTTATAGCAACAGCAATGCCAACTAGAGTCTGTTCACGCCGTATGGACAAACTCATCGTTCCCCTTTCTTGGCCTGGCTAATTCACTGTCATCTATTTGTCCACGGATGCACTGCTCTTTCCAAGGTTTTTCTAATCCAGTCATCAGGCCAGATTTTGGCACCTTCCTTTGTGTTTCTACCTACCCACAACGCTATCCTAGTCCTTTCTATACCATATTGTCACAATTTATTCATCTATCTGTCCAACTCCCACTTGGCAGGGGCTGTAACTTTTTTTCTCTGTGCCTAGCGTAAATGTTCTGGAAACATAAATTCTCAAAGAAATTGTGTTTACAAATGTGAATACTGAATCAGCAAATAAATGAATGAGCTGATTAATATAGAATAGAATACGTTTGAATCAATCGGTCCATCGTACCATTCTAATGCCTCTTGTGATACAGAATATATAGGTGTCACATCACATTGAAATTGTGGGCAGCTAATAGGAAATGACACGTCAAAATGCTATTTGGAACACTGAACTTTGCTTCGTTAGCATTATGTTTTATGAGAAATTGAGCTACAACGTCTGACCATAACAGCTATTGCTAGTTTTCCTGGTTTCTTTCTTTCTTTTAGAGAAAAGATTAATCTCATTAATCTCCATCAATTTCAATTCTAATTTCTCAGGCCATATGAGCCATGAATGATTAGCTAATTCAGTTCAGACTATCAAAGCAATAGGTCCATGCCACAGAATGCAATGGGACACATTCCCTCTAAACAGAGCAGATAACAAGCTGAGATGCACCGAGTTCAAGTAACGAAGAAAGCAATGCAGACAACATGTTTTACAGCTTTTTCTTTGGATTTCACAGAAAGTTTGATTCTTAAGTCTCTGAGGAAGCCTGAAAAACCAACAGACTTACTCATCTTGGATTTGGCTAATAACAAGGATTGTTGTAAAGACTACGATGTTTTCAATATTGCATAAGGTCTCAAATGGAGCAAAAGCATGAGCTTGAACAAAGCAGCATTGTAGCACAGGCTGAATGCTGTGCTGTGCACATGGCAGGCTGGAGGCCACATGGCTGGCAGTCACTGTCTCATATCCTCTTTGTCCCTCTACATTGACGAACAACAGAAGACTTCATAGAACTCACTTAAGCTTTTCAGTCTAATAAAACTCAACAATATATCCCATGACAAAAGATTTAGACTATTATTTTCTCCCTCTCACTGGCATCATCCATTATTTAGGATGATTTCTTAATATTTTATCAATGTATATGTATCCGAAACATCTTTCCTCAACCACAGATATTACATGTAATATTTCTAAGTGATTTAGGCTGCCATTTGAAGTTAGAGATTATCTTCTTTTTGGAACTTTATTCCATCACGGAACTTTTATTTATTTAAAAATTAAAGACTTTCAACAAAAAGTTAAAGACTTTCAAAAGTGACAGAACAATGAAATAATTTTAGGACTAATCCCTTAAATCATTTTGTATATATATTTTTTTCATCTGATGCTGAAACATTAAACACACAGTTGTGTTAGTGTAGCTTCTCCAAGAAGAAGATGTCAAAATACAACTAGATGTGTGTGTGTGTGTGTGTGTGTGTGTCACTGTGCTATTGATGCTATAACAGATCAGCAAAAATTTAGTGGCTTAAAACAACACAAATTTATTATCTTACAATTCTGGAGGTCAGAAGTCTAAAACAGATCTTAACTGGCTAAAATCAAAAAGGTTGTGTTCCTTCCAGAGGCTCCATGGGAGAAGCCACTCCCGCCTTTTTCAGTTTCTAGAGGCTGCCTGATTTCCTTGGCTCCTGGTTGCCTCATCTCAACCTCTCCTTCCTTCATCACATGTCCTTCTGTTCTGTTGCTATATTGCCTTTTCTCTCTCTGACCCTTCTGCCTCCATCTTATGAGGACCCTCGTGATTACATTGGGTCTACCCGGATAATCCAGCGTAATCTCCTCTTCCCCAAATCCTTAATTTATCACATTTGCAAAGTCTCTTTTGCCACGTAAAATAACATATTCACAGGTCCCAGGGGTTAGGACACAGATATCTTTGGAAGACATTATTCAACCTAGAACAATGTGCAAGAGCTTTATTGGGGGAAATGCCAATGGTGGATAAAAAAGTGGAGATAGCCATCACACTGTGACATAGATCTGACCCCTCTGAAGGAAAAGGGAGGAGGAAGAAGAATTGGGTAGGAAGAATCTGATGGCAGTGAAGTGCTGAGCAAGTTTTGCCAAGTTTATGGGGAGTCCTCAAGCCAAAGTTCCTACTAAAGGAGTGACTGGATAAATATGAAAAGGTGTCTTGCTGGAATGAGCCTACATCAGCATCCTCACTGTGCTCATCAATGGCCAAGAGCCGTGTGAGAGGCACAGTACAAAGGTGGGGGCGAATCCAGAAGGGCAATAGCTGAGGAGCTGTGCGGTCAGTGTTGCTCCCTGCAACAGGAGATCTGAGCGGAGCATTTTCATAGCCACTGGGACTGTTAAGCTCCTTTATCATTTAAAAAAGCCTTCAGTTTTTTCTATTCCAGTCTCTTCTTTTTCAGACTCATATATTCGCTCATTTCATTTTTATTTAATTTCAGTAAGCATTAATGAAATGCCAGGCACTGGGCCCCAGAATTAAAAGACATAATTACTACTCACAGGAAGCTAGCAGGATAGCGAGAAACATAAAAAGAATTATAACGCTACCCCAGAATAACTACGCTGGAGCAGGACCCTACATCCTGGTTTTCCCAGGAAAATTCACTTCTGCCTTTCCCCAGTGCCCCATCCAATTAGCACCCTCCTCGACTCTCCAAGTGTCCCAGATGGGACGACAACTTATATGATCACTATAATTATGGGAGCACATACACTTAATGCAGACCAGAGGGGAGGAGGAAACAGCTATAACGTCCTGGATGAAGTGCTGACTCAGATAAGTGAATACGCAGAAGTTAGCCAGACAGAGGATTGGCCCATCCTCCAAATGGAGGATGGGAGGAGTGATGTGGGCAGCTGCTGCAAGTGACAAGTTTCAGACAATCAACAGCGATATTTTAAAAAGCCAATGGCCCCTACCAATGAGGGCAAATATTTCAGAAAAACCGGATATATGTTACATACGGGGTAAAGGTGAGAAATGAAGTAGGGCGTGCAAGCCAAAAGCAGAACATGACAATCCTCACACTTCTTGCTAGGATGTGAATTTATTTAATTGCTACTCATTTATCATTGAAACTCAAGAATGGAAATAACATTGCTGTTTGAGAATTAAGGAAACTAGAAAGAACAAGTACTTGAAATTAGGTCATTACAGCTTTCTTCAATGTTAAACTAAGGGAGTACTCGTAGAGAAGGATAAAAACATTCTTAGGAAAAAACGAAACCTTGTTTACACAAATTTATAATATAGAGATCACTATTTAGAGATTAATTTTTGCTTGAGGAGCTTTGAAAAGAGCAACCAAATGTCTAACTCAGCCATAAAAATAAATCTCTATAAAACATTCACAGAATAGCTAACTTTGTACAGAGCTACTTGCTACTAAACCATCCAAAGAGTCTTTTTGGGGCAAAAAAAGTATCTGAATAAGTTGATCTGATGTGTCATTATTTTCCATAAATTAGTTTAAGATGTAATGAGATTCCCAGAAAAGCTGAACTTTTTTAGTAGTTATTTTTAACCATTATAGCAAATAATAATTAGATATTGTATCTAGCTACACATTTAAGCAATTCTTATATTGAGACAATATGACCAGATTGTCATCAGGTGATAAAGGTAATTTGTGTATCAGGACCCTAAAAAAATCTAATCTAGATCAGATTGGCAATAACTATCCTAATAAATTATTCCATTAAAACTAAAGTCCCAGAGTGAATTGGGAATCTTGGCTGTTTACTACCAGACTAATATCATTTCTCTGAAGGCATCTTTAAGAAAGACTGTATTTAGTTAGGAAAAAAAAAACTAAGCAGGGCCAGCCCTGGTGGCCTAGTGGTTAAGTTCAGTGCATTCTGCTTAGGTGGCCTAGGTTCAGTTCCTGCATGTGGACCTACGCCATTCATCTGTCAGTGGCCATGCTATGGTAACAGCTCACATACAAAAAGAGGAAGATTGGCAATAGATGTTAGCTCAGGGCAAATCTTCCTCACCAAAAAAAAAAAGCTTTTAACTGTAATTATAAAACTCATAATTCCTTATATCCAAATTAGCTTCATTCTTAAAGTTTGAATCTGATTAAAAATGATAATTTGACTTTTGTTCTCTTTTCTTCTAGTTTGAGTCATCCCCGTCTAGAAAATAGTAACTAACAATAGTGGTATCAGCAAAAATATGACTGATAATAAAACTACAAATTGTCTATAAAATGACATTTCAATTTCTAGACTATTAACTGATAAACCAAAATGTTTAAGTCCATCCCAAAACAAGGAAGTAATCTGTCTTGCACTTCCATTCAATTTTTTG